TCCTCCCCTTCTTACAACACTCAGACGTCTGGGGACAGTGGAGACCAGTTTCTCAGGTTTAGAAGTAGGAATGCTCTCCATTCATGTCTAATACAGGCCTCTGACTGTTCCATCGTCTTGGGCCTCTTTGTCACACCTTCCTCTTTATGATGCGCCAAATGTTCTCTATAGGTGAAGATCTGGACTGCAGGCTGGACATTTCAGTACCCGGATCCTTCTCCTACCATGATGCTGTGATTGCTGCAGAATGTGGTCTGGCATCATGTTATTGAAAAATGCAGGGTCTTCCCTGGAAGAGACGACGTCTAGATGGGAGCACATGTTGTTCTAGAACCTGAACATGGCTCTCTGCTTTAATGGGGCCTTTCCAGACATGCAAGCTGCCCAGGCCACCAGCTCTCATCCAACCCCAGACCATCAGTGATGCAGCTTCTGAACGTTGATAACAACCTGGGTTATCCTTGTCCTCTCTGGTCCGGATGACATGGCGTCCCAGTGATCCATAAAGAACTTCAAATCGTGACTCATCTGACCACAGAACAGTCGTCCATTTTGCCTCCCTCCATGTTAAATGAATCCTGGCCCAGTGCAAACGGCTGAGCTTGTGGAGCTGCTTAGAAATGGTTTCCTCTTTGCTCTGTAGAGTTTCAGCTGGCAGCGGCGGATGGCACGGTGGATTGTGTTCACTGACGATGCTTTCTGGAAGTATTCCTGAGCCCAGGCTGTTGTTTCCTTGACGTTCCTGTTTGAGGTGCAGTGGCGTTTAAGGGCCAGGAGATCATCAGCATCCAGTAGTTTTACAGCCTTGGCCCTTACGCACAGCCATTGTTCCAGATCCTCTGAATCTTTTGATGATGTTATGCACAGTTGATGATGATAACTTAAAAGTCTTTGCTATTTTACGCTGGGTAACACCATTCTGGTATTGCTGCACTATCTGTCTGCACAACAATGGTGGAATTGGTGATCCTCTCACCATCTTGGCTTCAGAGAGACTGACTCTCTAAGAAGCTTTTTATACCCAATCATGTTGTCAATTGACCTAATTAGTGTTAATTGGTCTTCCAGCTGTTTGTTATATGTTCAATTTCCTTTTTCCAGCCACTTATTGCTACTTGTTCCAACTTTTTAGGGATTTGTAGACACTGAAATTTTGAATCAACATATTTTTCCTTTAAAATTTTACATTTACTCAGATTAAACTTTTGATCTGCCATCTATGCCCTATTCTGAATAAAATATTGACATTTGCCATCTCCACATCATTGCATTCAGTTTTTATTCACAATTTGTTTGTAGTTTGATTATGTTCATCTATTGGGCAATTGATACTCAACAGAAGATGCTATTTTCCAAAAATGGATCCAGTGATTGTTAAACACCAACCAGCGGCGTCACCATCATCATCATCTCAGCAGAGAGGGACACGACATTTTCAGATGTATTTTAAGTGATTTATCATCATGTCACTTTCATCAGCAGCTTTCATTAGTGATCATTGGCCACTGAGAGCCTCAGAGCAGCATGAGGGAACACACTGTAGTGCTTTAACTAGACACTAACAAAGTTTTAGCTGCCAAACTCTGAGTTGACACAATTATCCTCAAATATTTACAGGATCAGCAGCAGATCAGCCAAATGGCAGCACAAGACATAGTGTTCAGAAAAACAACATTCCTATGTGCAAATTATGACTTAAGTTAACAGCCTAAAACGCCCCATGATTTAATTTAATGGCCAAAGTGACATGAGGGAGGGACATTCAGGCTGCTGCCCCAGAAACCTGCCCAGGGATAATATTTTAATATAATTACTGAAATTACTTTGTTATGCAGTTGCATATAACATGCTAACAAACGGCACAACTCTTACAGATAGTTTATAAATAGGAGACATAAATAAAAGTACAGGAGTAATCCATTCAAAATGAGTCTTTATGTTTTATTTGGAGAAATTTCTAATAGTTCTTCTCACCACAGATCCAACTTTTGTCTTTACAACGAACTTCTCTTATAAATATGACAGTTTCCATTTAGATTTGTGATTCTATGCATCAGAACTTCAGGATGACCTGCTTCATGTTCAGTAAATTAGATGAAAAGTATTTCAGTAACTCAGCTCACAAGTTAAACACATCATACAGATTAATGCCCCACAAGCTGTTTTAAACTTTTATTTAATGACGATTTGTAGCTTACAGCTAATGAAAACATTTCTGATTAATAAAAACCTTAATGCAGGAATGTGGGTCTAATGTTTAATATCTGCCTAAGTTGTTTTCAACATCTGATAAACGAGCCCATATTTAATTTATTAAATATGACTGTAAATATGAGGTGGTGATTGTTCACATGGTGCTAATATTATGTAACCAGGATGAGGAGAAGCTTAATGTGGGACTTTTATAGCAGGAGCCGCTGCTCCATGTGACCCGACTGCAGAAATCAATGTTACTTCAGTTCATGGTGGCTTTAGCTTACAACAATTTAACTGTTTACTTATCACAGTCGATTTAAAGAAGCAGCTTGGCAGGATTACATGAAACTTCACTGACTTAAATCAGTTTCACACCCAAAGTCAGAAAACGTTCAGCAGCTTAACTTCCCTCAACACGTTTTCCAGATTCAACGGTGAATTTTTAAAGCTAGAAGTTCATGAGGAGATGAAGGCGGCACTGGATCTCCAGGAGTCGTTTTTTAATAATAATAACAATAAATTTAATTTATAATGCACTTTTCATTAATAAAAATCTCAAAGTTCTACATGGTTTCACATTTTTGACCCGGTTAACTTGAATAAATCTTCTAAATAAGGCCGTGGGGGGTCAGGCCTTCTGGATGACTGTAGTTTGGTGTTGGTGACTCTGGAGGTGCTGCGTTTCCTCCTCGCTCTTCCTGAGGGAGGAACTAACGGGTCTAACGGTACCTTCCTGGTTTGCAGTGGTTCAGTGGATCGATTCCTCTCTCACCATTAATTACTTTCAAACTACAAATAATCATAATGTGACTTGGATGTAACACAGCGATTTATAGAAATGTAGTGAAGTAGAAAGTACAGATACTTTCTGTAAAATGTAGTGGAGTAAAAGTAGAAAGTATCCATGATTAAACCTACTAAAGTACAGATATGTTGAAATTGTACTCAACTAAGATAATAAAGTAGTAATACTTTTACATCCCAGCTCTGGTTAACCCAAATAAAAACAAATGAAACTAAGATTTGTCCAAATTAATAAACATTTATGATTCCTTCTGGTTGGTCATTGTTGCTTTTTCGTCTTATTGCTGTGAGAAACTTGGAAACTGGTTTCTGGAAACGGCTCACTAACTGCATCTGTTAAAGAAAAACAAAACATGTTTTAAATATGTTTTATAAGTACTAAAACAACCTGACTGGACTTGATGAAAACACCATCCAGTTACAGTCTGTCCTGTTGGAAACTCAACATTCCTGCCAGCTAAGATGAGCTGCAGGAAGAAATAAAATTCACCAACAACAACCAATTATAATTTACCACTTCAGACGACAGATGATCTCATGAGAGGGAGAACAGGATCGATATGTTTCACCTCCTCCATTAGCTTTAAGGTTACGAACAAAGCAAAATGTTTAAAAGGTTAAACTAATGCAAAGGTTGTGAGCAATATGACTAACTTATTAATTAGTTAACCATAAATCCAGAATAATTTTCAGCCCTAATTCAATAATAAATGAATATTCTGGTCTTTGTATTGGATCTGTTATAGAGCTGAGACTCCAGTTCAACTGGTTCATTCTCCAAAACACAACAATATTCTGACTATGCAGATGATTTTAGTCTAAAATGTATTTTTAATTTCAAATATTTAATTTGGTTTATATTTTTTTAGGGTTGTCAACATGAACACATGCTATTAATCTGAAAGTTTTAACTTGGTTAAATAATGCAGATTAATCCAACCACCTATTTCCAGAACCAGATGTGTTTCTGGTTCTGGACCGGTTCAGGTTTCCTCAGTCTGACCCACAGGCTGGACCAGGTGATCACTGTCTGACCTTTGACCCTGAGGTCCTTCCTCACCACCAACTGCTCGAAGTCATGATGTATTTATTTTCAATGAAAGCATTAAACTATGAATGAATGATGATAGTTTAGATTCATAATAACTGTGAGGTCAGAGCTCCGACTGCAACCTGCTGCAGGACCAACATGGAGGCCGAGTCCAGTTCTGCTGACCAGCTGGACATGAAGGAGACGCTGATGTGTTGGTGATTTTTACTGCTATAAATCCATTAAGATTATTAGACCCACTTTTTTACTTCCTTCCATTAAACTATGATCAGTTATGACACTAGCAAAGTAACTGGCCAAGTGACCAGATAATAGGAGTAGTTATCGAAGAGTGGAGGAAATAAAATTCATTCTATAAAACTCTGTTATTAACATTTTAGTAATGATGTGTTCATAAAACTACTGAGATAGAAACTTGATGTTTCTCCTGGTATTTGGACCTGCAGACTGAGACCCTGAACGGTTCAAACCCAGTTCAGAAATACCAGTTGCTATGCCTTTCCAGTGACCTGCCTCCAACATGAAGGGAGCTTTATAGCTAAAACTGATTGATTGAAATAAAACAAAGTTTGACATAATAGACTCATATTAACCAGCTGAGATCATCAATGAGCCTCAGAGACTCTGATAGATTCAGATTTTCTATTTATTAATTTAGTTCCTCCAATAAACTGGTGAAATGTTTTTTCCTGAAGCTTTTATGGCTGTTTTGATCAAATGTTTTCTTTAAAAAAAATAAAAGCATAGCAGAAACTCCTGCAGTTTTTATTGTGAACACATTTTTTTAAACATTTAAAATTGTTTCCGGAAGCTGACCTTTGACCCTGAACCGGTCTGTTAGGTTCTCACAGCAGCTTGTTGTTCCAGCAGCAGAAACTGATGAGTCTTCATCACCTACACTGATCACACTTTGACCTCTGACCTCTGCTCTGTGTTTCCTCTCCTGTAGGTCAGAAAAACGTGACGATCAAAGCTGAACCTGGAGAGAACGTCATTCTGCCATGTGAAGATCCTGATCAGGGGGAAATCATAGTCGCAGAGTGGAAGAGAACTGATCTGAGAGAAGAATTTGTCCTCCTGTACAAAGACGGGCAGATCAATCCAGCAGACCAGCTTCCGTCTTACAGGAACCGAGTTGATCTGCTGCTATATCAGATAAAGAAAGGAGACGTGTCTCTGCTTCTGAAGAACACAACGACTGATGACAGCGGGACGTATGAATGTCGAGTTACTAAAGGAAACGTTGTGGAAAAACTGATCAGCACCATCAGCCTCCAGGTTTCTCCTCCAGGTGAGAGTTTGTCTCTGGATCAGAACCAGCAGCTTCCTGGTTCTGATCCAGATCAGATGATCTTCAGTCATCTCCTACCTGAAGATCAGACTGGAGGTTAAAGGTCACATACAGTATTTGATTAATTCTAACCTGTAAACTTTGATTCATGCCAATTAAATTTGATTGAATCTTTTACCATTTTATGTCCGACTGTCCAGGTTATGTTGTGTAAAACATCACCAAACAATCAGGTTTATTTCTATATTGTGAACAACAGACAGATTATTAAAGACAGTCAGTGATGAAGCAGCTCCAGATGAAAAACTCCACCAGGTGAACTTCTGGTGACGCCATGAAAAGACAAGCAGCCTGATTCCTCCACTCTGGGGAAAGGTTTTTAAAGCTAGATTATATTTAACAACATGGTGGATATTCTACAACAAATTGACAAATTACAAAAACTACAGATGTCTACTGTCAGGAAAGAAGCTGATAAATGTAAATAAACTACGGAGAAAGAAACCTGCCAACATAAAGACAACATGGAGACGAAGTTACAGAGTTAAACCAACTGAGAAAGGATCACGCTGATGCTAATAACAATCTGAAGCTACTTTAAGGGTTGAATCATCACTGACTGAACGAAAGACAAAACGTAAGCAGGAAATAACCGACACCAACCACAGAGCGAACGGAGGACCAGCTGCTCCTCCATGAGCTACGACTGATGCTACAGAGAGAAGCTAATCGCTCAGCTAAATGTGAGGAACTGAATCAAGAGCGAGACGAAACAATCTACACATTTATGGAAGAGGGAGAAGAAAAGAACAACATGATGCCACCTCACTCAGACTACTGCAGGATATGGATCTGTGTAGACTAGCAGTTCTCAGCATGGGCGTTCAGAGGACAGCAGGGGGCGCTGGCGGAAATTTTTACAAAAGGGGGGCGCTGGGATGCCTCTGGGGGCGTTTGGTTGAAGGTAAACTTTACACCTTAAATGCACAACAATACCAGTTTAGACTTTGAGCAACTTGGTAAAACTGTATTGTGTAACATTAGATCATGCTTGGCTGCAACTCTATCGATGGCAGCTCTCCTTGTATTCAGTATCTGTAGCTTTTGGCGCAGCTCCGTTCTCCTGCTACTAGTAGCTTCACCGCATCAGTTCAGCGTTACACCGGCTAATGATGGTGCTGTGCTTCACTTTTTCTGGTATTTTTGTACAGATGTTTTGGCAGTTCTGTGATC